TATGTAGTACATCTCAATGTAAAGAAAACAAAAATCCTCACCACTGGACCAATAAATAACGTTCTTTTTTAAAAAATAATTATATACTTAAAATTTAATTCATATGATCAAAGCCAAAGAAGTTAATAAGCACAATTTAAAATTTTACCACTAGTTTCTTTTTCATGACATTAAACAGCTTTACTCTTACCAATTCACTACAAGCAGTGATGTAGAAACTAGAGACAAGAACAGTAATAGGTATCACCTTCCTCTTTTTTTCTGGAGTAAGAAGAAACAATTAACTGATGTGCTTAAGATACCACTGGAACATATTCACCTCTGGTTATGACCTCTGCACTGAAGATTTGAAGGATTTTTAAATAAATAACATTAAAATCTTCCCACAATCTTGATCTATTTAAAGATTTTCATCTTTGAAATAATTTGATTAGATGCTTTATTATCTAAAAAATTGGTTTATGAGTCCCTGGTATCAAAAGAATTGCTAATTTTTGTACGTGGCCTAAATATATTCTACTGTCAAGTTTCTTGATTTTAAGATGTCAGCAATATGGAACCATCTTAATATAATAGAACCTTTAATTATATCACTTTACCATCAACACAGCAAACTCCCTTAATGATGATTATATTGGCCACTTCCACTGATTGGCAAGAGGTTCTTCCACTGAAGGTTCCCATGGTTTCCATAGCATCATTTTTCTCACCAGACTCAGTTCATTTTCAGCCTGAAAAATCACTTCCTCAATTTGTCCACCCTGAAGTTGGTCTTCTAATTTTTTAACATCTGGCTCTGCTTTCACCATATTTAGCTTCTCATTTGTAATCTCTTCAGCATACTTTCTATAGGCTGCAGTTTTAGGCATTTGCTCGAGAACATCAAGGATCTTTGTATATAATATCCTTAGTCTCTCATGCGGACTGTCACATACAGCCAAGCCCACCAGGCCAGTGGTCTTCTTCAGCAGCCCCGCCATGATTGTGCTCAATAAATAGCATTCTTATCAACGGAGAAAAGATTGAAGCTGTCAAGGACTTCATTCTTCTTGGATCAACTATCAACACTCATGGAAGCAGCAGTCAAGAGATCAAACGACGTATTGCGTTAGGCAAATTTGTTGCACAAGACCTTTTTAAAGTGTTGAAGAGCAAAGATGTCAGCTTGAGGACTAAG